CCCCTCTGACTTTTACAAACACTTGAGCAGGTCTGACTGATGTTCCCTAACATGACGGATACCCCACGTCCCAGCATGCAAAACAACAACAAAAACCGCCCACCCCGCAACAGAAGAAACATTTCGCACACGCAGCCGCCATGAATTGGATTCACTGTAGAACCAGTTTCCCAAGAAAGCCGAACAAAACAAAGTCTTCGGTCACTCCGGGGCGCGGGGGAGGCGGCCTGGCGTTGTGTGTGATAAATTCTGGCTGCGCGCGCGGGCAGCGTTGCCAGCAGCAGCCCTCCTCCCCTGGCAAAAGGAACTGCGGTCCAGCACTGAAGCAGATGCACAAACATGTCGAGTTATCTGTGCTTCCCGGCCAGGTAACGACAGCCAGGGACAGAGGAAGGTCATCAGTCATTATTTAATGGGAATTTCCATCGTTAAAACTGCACCTTTGCTCTGCTACTGCCCTTCCAGTACACATCAGTAAAACATAGCTATATGCGATTTTATTTACTTATGTTTTTAATGCCCTCTTGGTTCTGTTACACGCGGATGGAACCTGCGTGATCTTCAGAAGTCTGATGAGGGACACCAAAGCTCTGGAAGCAGAAAGTTGTTAAGAACTGAAATACAGAAGTTTTCCAGCAGTTCTTTATTTATAATGTAGGCTTAAGCAATCATTACAATGTAGAAGGGAGACACACTTACAGCAATTATTTATACCAGTTTAGAACAAAAAACTGCACAGGGAGAGGTCAACTCTCAGTACAAACTAGCAACTAAACCACAATAATTTACCATTAGAAACATTTTATTTTTTAGCTGTGACACTGCTTTTACAATATGCAAAAACACAAACAATAGAACTATCCAAAGTGTTTTGTCACATTCTTTCTACATTGAATTTGGCAACATTTTATATTAAATTTTACTGATTATACTAACGTTTAAGAACTAAACAAGTGAAAAGCTGTACTCAGGTACAGTTACATCCATTTATTTCAAAGGTTTAAATAACACTTTTAACTATTGAGATTATCTCCTAGCAGTTTTTGTTTATGCAAAAACCATCTCAAAGCCTCATTTGCACAATGCATCAGCTACTGTATCAAGATTGGTGGGCTACACCACAGGCACTACTGTTTATTATATTCGGTAATAAGGAGCTTGTTTTTCAAAGAAAGGAAGGTTTAATATTTTCTAAGAATCATGCCTTTTTTTTTTTTTGCTTTTTGCTTTAAGCCATAACAAAAAAAAAAGGTTAGCAACCACAGCAGTGTAAAATGTTATATAGAACACAGTGACTACACAGTTACTAGAAGTTTCACATCCAATGCAGTTATGTATTAAAGCATAAGAGGTTATGTAGGCAAGTCTAGAGCCAACAGAAATCTGCAGAGTGCGTGGTGGAAACTAGCCCCTTATCTGTAGTATTTGGTGCATTTTTAAACAATCCCGGATGCGCAAGTCTGGTGTCCATCCACGCGTGCGTCTGCTGTGGGTGGGCAGATGGCATCCTTCCGGACTGCCTGACCGGAACACACGTCGTGCCCTGGGGTCTGCATATTTCTATCAGCTTTAGGAGATGGGTATTGCAGCAATAACTTACTTTTACTTTAAGGAAAAAATCCAACTCTTAATAATTCTATCAACAGCGTTCCAAAAAACATGACTTAAAGTACAAAAAAAGAGAATATAGTGGTCAGACTCCCGGTATTATCAAAAACCCATTATCTCTCCCCACCCCCCACCCTTCACCCCTTTCTTTTCGGTATTTAAGAAAAGCCAATCAACTGCCATTTAAAAGAAGTTAAGAAAAACAAGCCCCTGTATTGGAAAGAAACATTCGCAGTTTATTAGATCACAAGCTGGTTACACCTGTCAAATTGTTAAGTGTTTTCTCAAAATATTTGGGCTTTCCAAGGTGCCCAGCCTGCTGGGCACAGTCAGAAAAAGGCATTTTGATAACATCTAAGAACTCCCTGCTTGCATTTTAAAAATGTTTTCACATTTGTAACTGCCTTAAGCCTGTCGTCCTTGTTTGTATTCAGTGAAAGGATGAGTGGAACAAAAAGCGAAGGTGGGAGAACCAAGCCTACACAGTTAAGGCTGCATGCATGTGACTGAGAGTTGTTGCTGTGCAGTCAAAAAAGAAATGTGGAAAAAACCCAGTCTTTAAAACACCCTACAGAAACAAAACACTGCAATCCAATATGGCTTATTCTGATGCATTTACCATGAAGCTACTAGTAATTAATCCTACTAGGCTACTTTTGTGCAAGAGCATCTGCTATTTTGATGGCATCTCCCTCCCCCCACAACCCCCCAAATAACTCTACCAACTGCAGGTTTCTTCCTTGCATTATATATTGCTTTTATTGTCAATTTTTATTCCTGCTTTTCAAACTTTTTTTTTTAATACTTAAATGAGGATCTGTTCCTCACAGCTTGACTTAAACTTTAAAGTAAGTCCCATTGTTGTTTTGTTTTTTAACCTCACTATTACAAGGCGCTCTACAAAAGCTTGCAAAAAAGCCAAATTTTCATTAAATCCCTTTGCTGAAGTTAACTACTTGACATTTTTTTTCTCCTATGATTTAAAACTTTACAAAGAGAGTTATAAAAAAGGTAAATGGGATTTGGCACCTTCAGAAAAAATTAAAAGTGTAACTTAGATCAAAAAAATGCAGAAACAAAATCATTGATATTTACAAATTAAAACACCAGTGAAGATTATGTCTTACTACGCTCTTTCACTTTGTCTTCTCTTTTAGAGTACTTTCAGACTGTCTGTTACCGAGTATCTTAAAAAATTCATTGATTACAGATTGGAATGGATAGAGACAAATTAGTTTCCTCACAGTTCCTTCTCGGTGGCTAGTACTCTGGCAGCTTTTCCACTCCTAGGAAATACGAGGTGCTGAGCGATCATTCGTGGTCGTCTTCTTCAGCTTGACACCACGCCGAATGGCGTTCAGCATATCTTCACCTTGTGGGGCATCCCCAGGACTCATCTCTCCGGGATCGAGCTCCGGCTGGCCCGCGGGCGCAAGGGTGCCGACACCATCCCGGTCGCTTTCTTCCCCCTCGCTCTCAGGAACCGCTTGCCTCTGCTCGTCGGCAGCACTCAGTTTCTGGCTTGACGCCGGAGGGTTGACAGATGCTTGCCCGCTCCACGAGGATGAGGGCATGTTGGTGACACCTTGCCCACCATCTCCTGCTGCTGGAGACTCAGGACTTTGCTCGGGACATTCTTCCGTTCCAGCGAGGGTGCCGGGCAGCCCCCCTGGGATATCCGGGACAGTTGGTGTTTTGACAGGAATCACTGGCGTCTTGATCGGAATCGGACCTCCCCCTATGGTACCGCGTCTGACTGAAGGCTTGGTGGAAGGGGTCCGTCTGATGGTGGCGACGCCGGGGGTGACTATGACCGGTCCAAGCGTGGTTGGCAGACCTGCAGTGGAAGCAGGACGCTTGGTTTGAAACATTCTGCGATAGGACTGGCTAATGTCACTGTTTCTTGGGATGGTAGAAGATTTGTCAAACTCTTGTTGTTCTGCCTCCTGGTCACCACTCACAGAGAAATAATCATAATCTGAAACTGATGCCAAAAGACAGAGTTAGGAACAAGCTGGAGGAGAGAGCTGAGTCATGTCAGCAAGTCTAAAGTATGTATAACCAAAAAAGTATATATAACCAAAAAAGCCTGGAGGTCAACAGCAATTAAGAGAGGTTTCACCTTTAGGAGGAGGAAGCCTGAGATATTGTGACTGAGATTCTCAGACTGTGTGGCAGAAGGCACTACAGCAGTCTGACTCTAAAGCTGCCCACATCTCTTGTGAAAGAGAACTGCACACACTCAGTACCTTCTCTGAAAAGAGCTAATTAAGTAACTGTCCTGGTTTTGGCTGGGATAGTTAATTTTCTTCCTAGTAGCTGGCACAGTGCTGTGTTTTGGATTTAGGATGAGAATAATGTTGAGAACACACTGATGGTTTAGTTGTTGCTAAGCAGTGCTTATGCTAGTCAAGGACTTTTCAGCTTCCCATGCTCTGCCAGGTGCACAAGAAGCTGGGAGGGGGCACAGCCAGGACAGCTGACCCAAACTGCCCAAAGCTCTATTCCATACCATATGACGTCATGCTCAGTATAGAAACTGGGGGGAGTTGGCTGGGGGGCAGAAATTGCTGCTCGGGGACTGGCTGGGCATCAGTCGGTGGGTGGTGAGCAGTTTCATCACTTGTTTTTTTCCTGGGTTTTGTTTCTCTCTCTCTTCTTGTTCTCCTTTTCATTACAACTTTTATTACTATTATTATTATTGTTATTATTATTTTACTTCAATTACTAAACTGTTCTTATCTCAACCCACACATTTTCTCACTTTTAGCCTTCCAATTCTCTCCCCCATCCCACCGGGGGGGTAGGGTGAGCGAGCGGCTGTGTGGGGCTTGGTTGCTGACAGGGGCTAAACCACAACAGTAACAAAGACTCAGTGTTTGTTGCCAACGTTAAGATACCAAAACCAGCATCCTACAAGCCATATGCTATCACTAGTAGATATAAATACTTAAAACAGTCAGTGACTAAAAAGTGTACTTTAGACTAGGCAATGTGGGGCTCGGGGGACTGTGTACCAGTGATTTCAGCAGCAAATTTGCTTATTTTGCAAACAAAGTAAATCCTGGCTGTCAGCTCTGAAAACTCAGCCTCAGCTTTAATAATTGCATCAGGTTCCTTCCTTTCCACGTAAACGCCGAGCCAAGCTAGGCCCTCCACAAGCCCTACTGTCTCCTGTGATTGCACAGCACAAGCGACCTCAGCTGAGCAAACAAGGCGGTTGCTGAACTGCAAACACCAAACTCAGTCCCTCTTAGCTTGCTGCTGGTTCTGAAACAGGGTACAAAACCCAGCACCTTATTGCCACTTCCCAGGTATGCCCAAGTTAAGGTCTCCAATGGATTATTTTTCCAATTACAGAATTTCTGCTTAGGTAGGAGATAAAAGGTTACAAAGGGAACCCAAGAGCAGATTCAGAGTACTGATGGAATGAGAAAGCAAAGCTCGCGAGCGCGTATTTGCTAAGACAGTAGCTCAGAAGGGACACTGCTACCACAAGAAGTGTATGATGCGATACCAGTATCATTCCACTTAACCCATGAAATATAATTCCAGCATCTTCTTTAAAATGGTAGCATCCTTAAGCTAAAACTCATTCTAGTAATGCACAAGAAAATATGATTGTTGAGTAGACTATGCAGCAATCCAGGTTTCTATTTCGTTAATAAACCCAGGCTGCATTCCAAGCTGGAAAACACTTCCCAGCAGCCATGTTCACCCCTTTCTCCCCAGCTGACTACAAAGCCAGTGACTGACAGCTGCTGGAATATAGCTCCTTGGCACCGCAGGGTGAGTGTACGATGGCCAGGCTGGGAACGCTCTGAAAAAGAACATCTCTTGTACGGGTACCTTGAGATGGGATCGTGTCCTCTGAACAGCATGGAGTTGTTGTCTGGGTGCTGTAACCGCTGGAGCACTGCAAGGAATCCCGACTGCTCCTCTGGGTGTCCAGCTGCAGCCCTCTCGTCAGAGCGAGCGCCAGCTCCTCGCAAGCCTCCATCTCCTCACCCTGCTGGTTACACACAGAAAAGGGACTCATTACGTCTAGAAGCGTTAATCAATCTTCACGGACTTTTAGCTGTCCCTCCCTCCCAAGCAGAGCTTGTCACCATCACAACCCAGCAGGATTGTGTCCAACCATTTACTAGGGTTTCAAAGAAACAGACGCTTCTTTGGATGCCATTGCTTTACAAATGCCAATACCCAGCAGCATATTCTTTCATGCTCACATCACTTCCACTGACCACCCCGACACCACACCAGTCCTGCTTGTCGGATAAACATGTGCCAGCATGAAGCACGGCAAAAAAGTACTGGCAGGAGCTAGCACATCCACTTCCTTTGCACCAAACAGCATATCTGAAATCAGAGCTTCACCCGTGCGGCAGCCGACACCGTCATGCTCCGAGGTCTCTGGGGCTCCTCAGGGGGCACGGGTGGTCCACTCTGAGCTCCTCCATTGAGATCTGGTTCGCGTTTTTCTTTGCGACGTTGCAATGTGTTCACCATTGGTTGATCGTATGGGCCTGGTTTGGCCCAGTCCTAAGGAAACGTGCTTGTTAGTGAGAGCTGTCATCTGTAACTGTGCTTTAATTACAAGTAAAACTATGCAAAAAGGCAATTTTAATGCAACAGATTATGTATCAAACTGGATATGCCTTTTTGAATAAGGCCAGAAATAAATTAATTTTAAGGATATTAAAAATCTTCACTTATAAAACCTATCTCCTTTATTAAAGGGAATCTAAATTTCCTATTCTACCTGAATGTTCTTATACAAAGATAATTAACATTTTAATACTATAGTTTTCTCTAATGAAATTCCATTGTTTTAAAGCCTGTATTTTCAGAAATTCAAATGAAAAAATCACTGGCACACAGCAGAAAATATACATAAAAGTCCAATCAGCGATTTAACTGTTCTAGATGTACACAAGTTCTAGTATTATGTGCTGTTACACGTCTTCAATTGTGAAAAATTAGGCTTGAACAGATTTTTGATACACATTAGAGGAGCAAGTTACTCTGAGTAATCTCTCAGTTTACTTCCTAACTGAAATCTAGTTTATAATAATCTGTACTGAAGAAAGACTAACTTCACTCTGAATTACTGGTGCCAAATTTGAAACAGAAATTCCTCAGGCCACGAGGGCTATATTCACTCGGGGCTCTATTAAGCAAAGTCCTGAAGGTGTCCAGAAACCACACGTTGCACACAAAGAGCAGGACTGATCAGTGTCCTGTGCTGGGATGCAGAACCACTGCTAAGCAGCAGCTCCCCAAATGTGAGCTGCTGCAGGGACAAGCCCAGTCCTAAGAGAGTTCTTCACCAAGCCAAGGGGTGCTTTAATAATAAAAATAGAAGAAACAACTTGTGCGTGAGAACAGGCCACACACCCCACCACTTTTGGTTTTATTAACACATATGAAACTCTGCTTTGCCTTAACAGCTGTGTCTTTGCTGTGAGTGTTTTCCTGTGAAATATACTGGCAAAGTGCTTCTAGCACAGACACAACTAATGACCCCACAGCACCAGGACCACTGTGGCCACCCTGTGTGTACGTCTCAACAGTCTCCAGCTGCTGGAGAGAGATTAGGGGGATCTGTTAACAAGGTATCTCAATTTACATGTATCTATGGTCCCATGGTGCATATGCAGTATCATATAACCATCCCCAGGCATCTAAGACCTGTGCAGCTACTATCAACTGCACATCAGCTTTGTGAAGATTCAGGGCCAACAGACAAGAGACCCCTTGCTCCAGGGCACAGTCTCCCAGGGTAATTGCCTGGCAGGGACGAGAGTCAAGGCTCTGGCAGAGCACAGACGTTCTGATGCCAAGGAAGATCCCTGCAGATCCAGCTGGAGCAACTGAAAGAAGTTACTGCACTCTGACTTTTTCGGTGGTCTCACCCAAGAGAGCAAAACAAGCTGGGTGAGCACATTCAGTCTGTGGCAGTAAAGCTAGGATAGATTCAGTCACCACTTAGGCTCACCTGGTGATGAGCACCTTCTTAAACCCCTCCAGCTAGATCTACAAGAGCATGCCTGCCTGTGGCCAAGGTGGGGGCCAAGCAGAGGTGCCACAGTGAGAACATCATGTTGTTCAATGTATGGTTTCACTAAGCCAACTGGATGCCAAGCCTGCACTTCCTGGCTCAAGTGAGCGCTTTCACAGTGCTAAACAAGCTCTTTTCTCGCTGAATAGAGCCCAGAGTGCATTCACCAATGTTCCAGAGTTAAACTATTCCTTCCTACCTAGGTGTTGTCAGCTTTAATATGTTTTAGGCAGTGCCAGAATAGACAAGGTTATTCAGAAATATCCACTACCGGACTTCAGCTCTGATTATCACCATGCAGTGCCCATTCAGAGTGATACTAAACAGAGTAAATCAACGAGTAATTACATGGATCGAAAGGTAGCAACAACTGCCGTGTGCACACTGTGGGTATGAGGAGGTCAGGACTGCCACAACAAAAGGAACACAAACCTTCCAGCTAGGGATCTTAGATGATGGTAACATGCCTGGCCCAATGGTGTAATAATGAACGTAGTCTGGAAGGAGGGCTGAGGGAGCCCGAGTCCACGCGCGGGAGACAGGCGGGAAATGAGGGAAAGGACCTGCACCAACTGAAGCTACGGATGGGTCACTTGATAAACTACAGTGATAAAACCCATTAGACAACTGGAAACGAAACAAATAAACAAACAAAAACAGAGAAATTAATATAAACAGAATGAATATGAAAATACACTGCGACTCTGATGCTCTAGGGAGGAAACTTCTGTATCTTAAAACAAAAGAAAGAAAAATCTTAGCTTTGCGGCAAATAAACAACAGAAAATTGATACAATGCTTGGTTCAGAAGTGAGATTGCTTGAAAATTGTTATTTGGTATAACAAATTTCAGACATCAATCCAGCAGTCATTGTCTCCAGGCTGAGCAACTTTGCCTTCTGTCCATGAAAGCGGCACACTGTGAAAAAGCCTTTGCAATTTAGGTACCCTGCAGACTATGGACATAGAAACAAAACATTTCCAATACTGGAGGCATTTGCATTGGTGGCGTTTATTCTTTGTAGCTGGACAGAGAGGAAAAGCATACAGCCTTCGAAAATGACATGTTCTGGCTGTATGATGATATGGAGGAAAAAAAAAAAAAGAAAGAAACAACAGCAAGGATTTACCAGATGAGAATGGAGACTGCTATCACTTCCTCCCCTGATTCAGAGTGTATCCCCCATAATTTATTCCAACCATGTGTGTTTTGTTTTCCTTTTTGTTTTGGTCAAAACCAAATCCCAGCTGCTCAGTGTAATGTGTGCTACCTAATGGGAGAGAAGGGGGAAGCCACAAACAGTACAACCTGGGCAAGATGCTCTTTGTTAGGCAACCAGCTGGGTTTGGGCAGCATTCCACAATGGCTTTGAGTAGAAAAGGTGGACAATGAGCTTTTCTTAGAAAATTACCTCTGTAAAATGCCCAATTTGTAGCCTCTCCCTAGCAGCTAGTTTAAAGGCAAGCATTGCTGTGGTTTATTCAAACAGATTAATTTCTAAGGGAGTGTGCAACAGTTCCTATTCTCATCTTCACAGAGAGGAATCCTGGCTGCGTCCCATGCACCTTGTTTTCTTTTTTTTGTCCAAGTGTTGCTGGGTTTGGACAACGAGCTAGTAGGTTTGTATGTCTTTGAGATGAAGTTTTTCACCTTATCGGTGGAGGCCCAAGCCCCCATGGTGGAGCCTGAGCTGACTGAGGTGGGGGAACTGCACTCGCTCACTGACTGGCAGGTTTCAGAGGCTTCTGAAGAGGCAGAGCTGGACGAATTCTGCAGCGTAAAACAGCACCGCAACGCAAGGAAAGGATACACAAGCCACCAAAAAATAAAAAAGAACACAAAAAAAAAGACAAAAAGCACATACACAGAGACACAAACAGGAGAGAGGGAAGGATGAGAGAAGCAAAGGGTTAGGGTTTTAAAAATCAATTAGAAACTGCTCAAAACCATTGCTAACGTTCAGGAAATCTATGAGAAACAAAACAAGCCATTTGCTTAATGCGAGAACTTGCCACGCTGCTTGAGAATGAGGGAATCGAGGCAGCAATCTCAACTCCTCATTGCAATTTCAGCATCTCAATTTGTTAGCTTTCTCAGAACAAGAAGCTGAGGCAGCTGAGGGCACCTACGGTCCAAACATGCAATATATTGAAACAACTGATTTATACAGAAAAGCAGATCATCAGTACTTCAAAGACACAAAGTTTAGATTTAAAACACGGAGCAGCAAACGTCACTTACATTCACAAGTTCTCGGATATGCTGATCTGCAAAAGTGCTTGTGAAAAGCTCATCTGAGTTCAAATATTATGGAACAGAGAAAGAAGTGATACTTACCAAAACTGGCGGTTTCCAAAGTGCATTATCTGTATGCATGTGCCTCTGCGGGTAGTATGCATACACCAAAAGCACTCTGACTCAAACTTTTCTGCCCAGCAGCCAAAATGAAGGTACATGTACTCTGCTGAGTTTATAAACGGTAGCATGTGCTTGCCACCTGCTTTCTTGTAACAGCAGAGAGAGAAAATATCAGGGGCTTGGATGGAGAGCGAAGGAAAATGCAGGACACAGAGTGTCCATCAAACACCTCAAACATCGTGCTCCTAGCTAGGAACTTCTCCAATTTTCAGCGCACACCTTCATGTACATTTGCTGCTGTAAGACCTCTACAACAGCACCTAATTTACCTACAGGCAGGCCAAGGTGAATAACCACGTGGACCAGTTTACCAACTGCAATGCTTTTATATATCTCCCCCTTGAAAGTGGCATCCCCGTCAGTAGGGGTGCGTGTGCAGGTACAACCGAGTGCTGGGAAATGGTCAAGAATACTGGCAAAGTTGTCAAGGCAGTATTGAGCAATCTTCACTGTCAGGAAATTCAACACTAGCAAGACTAATTCATCCTTTGGTAGTCCAAGACCTGTGAAGCAAGACTATCTAAGGATATCCCCAGCATTTTATTTTATGACAGCAGAGAGAAAGTGCTCTTGTATCAAGGTTGTGTAGCAAAGCCTCAGACTTCAAGGAATGACATTTTGAAGAGGAAGGGAAATCTCATCTGAAATAAAATTTCATCAGTCAACCTTAGATGAGATCTTGGGGTGAGTTTCCAATGAAAAGATAGCTGGATAAGAGACACTGTAGAGGAGGAATTACTGCTAATACCCAGAAGTTGTCTCACTGCTCACCAGAAGCTACATATAAGGAATGTATAGCTAATTACCTAGGTAAAAGGAGATGTCGGTCTCCTCAGATGGGCAAAATAACCATAAGGATTTTGGTGAAGACTTCTGGGGCTGTTGAGAAGCCAATACAGTATCAGCATCTTGAACTTATTAGCAAACTCTGGATTTAAGTGAAACTTTGAAAAGGCTGTTAAAAAAATGTAAAAAGCATGTAATGTGGTGGATTATTTTATAGAAATAATGCACATCCCATCTTACGCTGACATGAGATTAGATCTGCGGGTGACCTGTCAAACGTGTTTTGGGTACAAGTAAGCTCAGCTAACAAGGCTTGTATTCAAAGTGCAGTAAGAGTTGAGGTGAACGTTAGGATCAGAAGAAACTACAAGTGACATGTAGCTATTAAGGAGAGAAGGGAAAAGCATGCAGTGGGGTACCTGATGATGCAGTGGCTTGATGTTTTGTGGAACTTGTCACATTCTTGACTTAACGCAACTCCTTTTACAGGAGAAAAACCTCTAAAAATAAGAATACTGACAAACATGAGCTGCAGCTGACTGCCATCAGACGTAACTACAGTACACTAAATAGATGAGACTATTTTTTCTATCTTTAGAGAAAAATACATTATAGAAAATTAGCTTTTAAAACTCCACATTCTGCCCAATATTCCAGGTTGCACAGCAAAAGAAACTGTTTGAGAAGCCCCATGAGAACACTCAGACTAGCGTTACACTTTGGCCAGAAAAAAAAAAAAAAAGAGGAAAATGTAATTTCAGAAAATGCTTTCTGAAACCTCATGCTTATGGCCTGAAAGACCCTCCTGGGTCTGCATACTCTGCACATGGCAGGACAGACAGTGAAGGGTCTGAGTTCCAAATACTGTATCACTCCACCTTAATTTCTGCACATGCGAGAATTTGGAGTTTACACCTAATAGAATGTTCCTGTTTACAAGCCAGAAACTTCACAAGATTATGTCAAGCAATGGTAGAAATAGGCCATAAATGATGTTTATTAACAACAAAGCTGCATGTAGCAACTAGATAGAAAAAGGCCCAAAATGCAAATTCTGAAGATGCAATGAATTGTTCAATTTACTTGGCGTATGGGGAAAAAGACTGGAAGTGGTGAACTTACTTTTGCAATAAAGTGACTCCAAGGTGAAAAAAAAGCTGAAAGAAAGGATTCTCCCACTAACTCAGCATGGCCACTTTCAGCAGGCAAAGTTAGACAAAGGATGAACCAAGATGCCATGGGGAAAACACCTGGGTAGTCGAAGGAAATGCAAGAGGTGGTGGTAGGGAAACAGGGTCTCCTCGCCTTGAGAACCTTGCATGGCACAGGGAAGGGGAGCCTCTGGTCTTGCTAAAAAAAGGATTACAACAGTTGAGAAAATGATGGAGAGAGAGGAAGAAGAATATTGAACTCCTGAAGGAAAAGCGTAAAGAAAACGCAAGCAGCAGCAGGGCAAAGGCTGCCTGGATCAGACTGCAGAAACAGTCTTGAATAGCTGGACTTGGGTGTGGGAAGCACAGACCACCCTTCATTTCTTAGCAGAAAGTACATGAGGGGCTGAAACCAGAAACTGCACAGTTAGTGCTTGGGCAAAAAGTCTCCAAAATTTTGAGCGCTTGTTCTAGATGCACACCCACTGGCACACGCACTCCTGGGACCACACGCACAGGCAAACACCAGGCAGAGCAATTTCTACTCCACATCCCGTGGTGAAAAATTTGACTATGGGATTTTTTCAACTTATTTTAGTCAATTCCTTTTTAAAATGGCTGTTCAGTCTGAATAATTTTTAAAATTAGCTCTTTCATTTTAGCTATTTTAACCCCAGGAGATGATGCTTTTTTCCTACAGCTGCGGTAATGGTGGTTCTGCTCCGCTCTCAAACCATCTCGTCTGAGTAAAAGCTTAAAGTTAACAGTACTAGCAGAAAGCTAAAACTGTGCTCTGCACAGTAACAACCAGTTCCTCGAACGTACGTTATACATATGCAGCTTGGTACCTGGTCTCTCAGACAGTGTACCAACGGCTTGTTCTTGGATAGTGTCCCACTGCTTGGTGTGGTACTCCAGCAAGCATATAAAAAAAGAAAGCTGTATTTTGGGCTACTGGACTGTATGATTATATTTTCCATCTGTCATCCTACTAACCTATAAAAGGACCACAGTTATCTTGGATTATTTGCATCCTTTCTTTCCTCTGTTTTCCATTCAAATATTGTATTGCTTTCTTAACCCCTTCCCTTCCTCAACTACCAGACAGGGCTTCCTGGGCAAGACCAAATCCTAATTAAGAGCTTGGTCCAATGTGCCTCTGCAGTCAGTGGAAGACTCCTCAGTTACCCTTCAAAAAGCTATGGACAGTGACTCAAGATCACCTCCTCAATTTCACTCACTTCCAGGAACTGACCCCTTTTTTCTAGTCAGGGATAAACCCTTGGGAAACCTAATTTGAAAAGGAAATTTAGGAGAAAAACACCTGGTGATAACTGACAGATTTCAGCTGTTTGTTGGGGGTTTTTTAAGGTCTAATTTAGGAGCATTTCTTAATTTACATGGAAAACTGAATAATTTTAACAATGTTTTCCCCTGATCTAACTTCAAGCTATTTCAAGCAATGGAGTCTCCTCAAAAGCAGAATCTTTCCAGCTTGCTAATTTGTACATGTGGAAGCAAGTTCACATCTATTTTCCCTAAACAGTGAAGTAGAGGGAAAGTGATTTCCAGAATATTCTAACAATAAAGACTTAGTCCTCTGCTGTTTGACAGCACATCAGCAGGTTTTTTTTCTTCATCTGCTTCTTTCTCTTTCTCTCCCCTTGCTTTCATCCCCACCAAGTCAGAAGCAGCCTCTAAAATTCAACTGTATAATCACTTCCCCCATGTGTGTTCACTCCAAGTTCAGGGGATCCTTCTATTATCATCCCCCCTAAAGCAAACATAACTGTATTGCTACCACACTGCTTCAGCACAGATGCTCTCAGGCCTTTGTCTACTACACAGGGCAACATGTATGTTTAGCGGCATCAGCCACGTTGGGTGTTCATCCAAGAGCTCCCAGCAGCAGGTCTGTCAGAAGGGCTTTACCTGGTGTCAGCACATGCCATGAGCAATGCTGGCCAGGGCTGACCTCAAATCTGGCATTTAGAGAAACTGTTCTGCTCCAGAAAGAGACCTGTGATGCTTTTCAGCTGTTCAGCTATATCCAAATGCATTTGCTTAATTAAGATTAAAGCATTTTACAGTGACCTTTCCAAATGTTGTGTTGGTTTTGCTTGCAATAGACTTAATTTTCTTCGTAGTAGCTAGTATGGAGCTATTTTTGGATTTGTGCTGAAAACAGTATTGATAACACAGGGACGTTTTTGTTACTGCTGAGCAGTGCTTACACAGAGTCAAGGCCTTTTCTGCTTCTCACCCCACCCCACCAGCGAGTAGGCTGGGGGTGCACAAGAAGCTGGAGGGGACACAGCCAGGACAGCTGACCCCAACTGACCAAAGGGATATCCCACACCATACGACATCATGCTCAGCATATCAAGCTGGGGGAAGAAGAAGGAAGAGGGGGACGTTCGGAGTGATGGTGTTTGTCTTCCCAAGTAACTGTTATGCGTGATGGAGCCCTGCTTTCCTGGAGATGGCTGAACACCTGCCTGCCGCTGGCAAGTAGTGAATGAATTCCTTGTTTTGCTTTGCTTGTGCGCACAGCTTTTGCTTTACCTATTAAACTGTCTTCATATCAACCCACAAGTTTTCTCACTTTTACCCTTCTGATTCTCTCCCCCATCCCACTGCGGGGGAGGGGGGAGCGAGTGAGTGGCAGTGTGGGGCTTAGTTGCCGGCTGGGGTTAAACACATGTACAGTTTTCTGACACAGGCTAACACTTTTACTCCCAGTGATGTTAACAGCAACGCTGCAGGAAAGAGATTGTGCTAAACCAGTGTAAGGGCAGAGCCTGGTTTTGTAACTGTCCTCTTCCTATCTTCTATGCATAGTGTGATAACTGTAAAGACTTACTACTCAGCAACTCTAGGCTGAAAAGCAGTCTTCATTTTGCCAGTCGTCTCTCCTCTGGTATAGTCTGTATCTTGTTTAAATCTCTACTTAATCCTTGTTTGAGATTTCCCCCTCCCTCCCATCTGTGTTTTTGAATAAATTCAGTTTAATTTTCAGTGACGCTTGTCTAAAATGTAAGTGAGAGCATAAAGGCTTCACACAGCTCATATAGTCTCATTCCCGTAATATTGGAATTTTATGTGGCCCCCTTCTACTTTTTTTTTTTAAATCAGTTACTAAAAGAAGATGGGCTTTGTTGCCTTCAAAACTACTGCTGCCAGTAGATGCCACAGCATGTAGCTAGCAAACATGAGCAAAGTGTCCACCTGCGCAAGATATATAGCTTTTAATTTCCTTTGTTGATTCCAGAGCTCACTTTTCTGCTTTCTCAGTGTCACTACTAGAAACAATGACATCAGTGTTTTAGAAGAAACAGTCAGCAGCCGGTATTGCTGCTCCTCCCCACCCACCACCGAGCCTCAAAAGCACTGTACCACAAGGAAGATCTGTCAGTTGGTTAGAGACACACAACATGAAATAACGCTGTAAATTGAACAGCTTCTTGGTAAGCTCACGATCACAATTATCTGTCAGCACAACACACACATTTTACTTAGTGCTGAACATACAAAGCAAGACACTTAAGCAAAGGTGAAGCGGCCAGGCAATGATCTGTTACCTTTTCGTCTGCGTAAAGGTATACAGAACTAGAGACATACAGAGCACATACCTATTTGTTATACCAACACACTACACTTGTCAAGTCAATGCCACACTGCTGCAGCCTTCTACAGCTCATGAATAGCTCAAGTGATGCTTGGATCAGTTTGCAACTTTATGGACAGTTTCTAAAATGAAGTGAAAGCATATGAACTTAGCTGGTGTAAATCAGCATGACTCCCATCGACTTTCAGGATGTTTTGCCAGCTGATACCGGCCTAAGTTCTCTCCCCTGCTTAACAGGGGAACTTGCAAAGAGAGGTGTTGAGTTTTTTCCATGCTAAGGGCAATTGCAAAGTTACATCCTCATCTGCAAACATAGCATCATCATGTAGATTACCGCCCTTTTACGCAGGTGCAGTGGATACTATGAAAACCAAAGATGATGCTAGCATGTATAACTGATGTACGTATCTTAAAAGCCAACTTCCTTACCTTGTTACTATTCCAGTTTACTTTATTATTGCTCATTTACTTTTTTGCTTTTCACTTAGGTTAGCCATAGCCAATCTAAACAAAACATTCATTTTATTAGTGTGCACAAAGTTCTTCAGGATGTCATCTATAAAAAACTGCTGATGTGTCCAGACTGGGGACAGTGCAGAAGATGTATTCATTTGAAAACAAAGCATTTCTATTAAAATGGAAGAGGTAAATATATTAAAAAACTGTTGAGCTTCCCTTGAGAACATGTTCCAAGCCTAAATGAACCAGTGTTATTTTGGATGATACCCTAAAAATTTCACTAAGGGTGCTACTTAATAAATGTTCTGCAAAAAGTAAGGGTCTGTGTGCTGTCAAAGGTGGTCTAGGAGTAGCTTAAGTGTGTAGGTGACATTTGGTAACAGCTAACAGTGAAATTGTTGGCTGCTTGCTGACTCTGAGGATTAAAGTTATCATTGCCTACAAAACCATCTACTCCCCAACACATGAAAAGGAGTGCAACTACATTTATTAAACTAAAGGACAATCTTCTCTGGTGACCTCAGGGTGTATTAAAAATGAGCGATACCCCACAACAGGATATTAGGTCCACTTCAGTTTGTAACCAAGATTTATGATGGGATTTATAATGTGGGACAGCAGTTCAGCCTTGTTTAAAAAATATTGCAGCTGCCGTGCGATTTGTTGAAAAAAAAACAAAACAGAAAAGAGAATTCAAGTGCTGGAAGATACATGCCACAGAGGCATGCAAACCTCTGCCTGCAGGTGGACAGCTAGTTTTATAGGAATGATGCCATGAACAAATAGAGCAGCAACTTCCTTCTGCAGACCAAAAAATTCTCTGGAAAAGTTTTTCTTACATTTATAGTGAAATCCTCTTAGTTTGACAGGGTTCAGGATGTTATCGTATATGACTACAAAAGCACTCACTTCTGAGTTCCATGAAGAATTAAAAATACCTCTAATTTTCATGCAGAAACCTTATTTCTGCAAGGTGCTCAATTGAGAGTCAAAAAGAGCAAGCCTATCCACAGAGAGGGATGTCATAAAAAATGGCAAAACCAAGTTCATATGATACTGCTAATGGCGTTTTGAGTATTCCAGGCCCCTTTGCAGGGAAGGAATAAAAGTCATCTCTCTGATGCCGAAGCCGCCACTAAGGCTGTCAGAAGGCTGTTCTGGCACCGATATTTGTCCATTAAACAGTAAACAGCCACCAGATATTAACAACTTGCAATCTGTGCAGGATATTAACTGGTAACCTCAGTGAGTAAAGTGAATATTACCCCCTCCTGTAAGGTGGGACTTCTTGCTCTTTCTCGTCTGTATGTATCTGAAAGTTAGGCATCTAGGCTCTCTCCAGGGCCAGAGAGAAAACCAAATCCCCCAAGCGCGACTCATCCCTTTCTTCAGTGCTAACTGCAAAAGCAGCATAGATCACTCCAGCTAGAGGCCCAACTTTTAGATGGATGAAGTGCAGTGAGACAAACCTTACCCTCAGTGTTTAACCTGACTCCAAAGTACCCAAAAACCACATCAGATCCTTTTTGTGAAAAGTGAGCCAAGTTAGAGAGTCCAGCTCACGTCAGGTTTTTGTTCTCATGCTTGCACGTACCTGGTTAGGTGCTTCTGGTGGCATGGGGGATGGCGATTTGGACTGGAAAGCATCCTGGGACATGAATCCAGAATCATGGGAGGACACACTGGACAGCCTCATGGGTGCCTGCTGAGGCAGATTGGAGCTGCGATAGCGATAGTGTGAACTAGGTGAGTGCGAGTGCGAGCCACTGGACCGGGAATCACTACTGTTAACGCTGTTCAGACTGCTGTGAGAGACAAAAGGAACAAAGAAAGGAAAGGGGAGAGGAAAAGACACAAGGGCGGGGTGGGGAGAGACCCATATACAGTACAATTAACATTCCACACGTCTCTAGCAACAGGCAGCATAAACCAGAAAAGAAAAAATGTTGACAAATTAAATTTAAATATATATATGCACATATATATCAGTAAAGAACTGTAAGCAGCTGCAGTATCCCTTGCAAACAGAGAGAAAATGGCATTTTACCTTGAATTTCACTCAAATAATCAAATTCTGTAACCACTCATAGTTCAAAGTCAGGTTAGGGACGAACGGATCGCTACATGCCCTCTCTAGCATTTGCACAGCACTTGCACAAAAAATGTCTGCTGATGGCTCTCCCCTATCCTGCCTTACACCTTATTGCTCTTGCACCATGGCCCAAATTTTCAATGGGATCTCTAGCAGCAGGTCCAAGGCATCACAGTTCATCTAAAAGTCTGCCTCTAGGCATGCCATTGCAGTCAGCAGGCAAACATGTGAGACTTTTGAAAGCACCAGCAAAACTCCATGCTTCAGAGTACCTGGGACAAGTTTCGCTCGTGTGAAGGCTTTCTACCAGCAAAAAAACATGTGATGGCATATTTGGTGAAGTCAAGCCTCTGGGTATGTAGCTAAAGTTAGCAAGTATGTAACTAAAGTTAGTAAGAAATACCCAAATTAATATCGATGAAAAAAAAATTTTTCAAACAAAAAGATTGATTTTTAATCTCTGGCATCCTTGAATGACAACAACGACATGCCAGCCGCAGTGTGGGAGCCTCTGAAGTTTCCTGCTGGGGTGGCTCGGCAGGACTAGCAGGATGCATCAATCTGAAGGCAGCTTCCTACTTTTGTCAGCAGGAGCCCACTGACTAGCTGAAGGGAAGGCTCTAACGGATACATGGGTGAGGACTGCACCTCCTGCTCACAAATCCCATGTAACGCACAAGATGTACAAGTCAGCTTGGAGCAGGGGAAGAGGAGCTCTGCCTTATTTTACCTATACACAACAGTCTGTTGCTACACAGGTTTTACCACACAAGAAGATGAGGTTGATTAGGAACAGATGATGGAATTTTTTTTTTTTTGGCCATTTTCTTTTACAGCTTCAGGATATTGCATCTTTAAGCCTGTGCTCATTGCTCTAAATATGCATGTTTTCACATATATATATAAAAGTATTCAAGTTTTTTTTATATATATCTGCATGCAGAGACAAGTAGGTACATAGAAGAAGTTATGTTCACTTGCTCTGACATGCTATAGGTAACTTTGCTCATACACAGGGAACCTGTAGTACATTATTCATAAAGCAAACCAAAAGGTAATCATTCAAGAGCAGCTAGAAAGGTGTTGAGCAGAATACACAATAGGATATCTTCCTTTTCAGTAAAAGGAAAGAATAAATGTAGACACCAGGGCATGGGGGCAACATGCTCATAAACTGTTTTATGAGAAAAAAACAGTTTTTACAGAGAAAGCATAGACAGAATCCAGTGTTTCAACATATTCCAGGACAGCATTGGACAGCATTAAACAGTCAAAAAAACCTGTATCAAAAAAGCATTTCCATCTACCAGACTGATAGGTCAATTGCCAAGGATGTTTTTCCTTTTCAAACACTTTAACTTACTGATTAGTAACAGCTACTTAGAATAATCTAAAAAGTCATCACATGAAAAACAGAAAAGGAAATTATGAAGGAACAATCTCAGAGCTTAGATCAGTACAGTCTGCTCTTTGAGCTGAAATCGATTCAAAAGAACTGAATCAAAAGCATCTTCAAGTTGTCTTGAGTTTAAAAGTTGTTCAGTCATGCCCATCCTTTTTAATATTCCCAGTCACACACTTAAACAGAGAAAGAGCATGAGGGATTGATTTCATTAAGAGTTGTTATTTAAGATTTAAGTATGCATACAAATCCATACCACAGTCTGAACTTGCCTCCCTCTGCCCCCAAACAGGTTAAAATTAAATATTACCAGTCTACTTACCTGCAAACACTAGATTTTCTGGACATGGTAGTACTGGGAGAGGATGGAGGAGTCTGATAAGACCAGCTGTAATCAGAACCTTTCAAATCTAAAATTACCTGATGAAAGATAATCAATAGCATCAAGGATGTGGAAAATTTTTTCCCCTATTAACAGAAAGCATCTGCTTGTCATACAACATTTGTCACCACTCAAACTTTCAGCACCAATTGACCCAGTCTCAGTTCTCTTCCAGAATTACACTGTGTATACTACACAGGAGACTCAGCTTCATCCTTGGCTTTCCAGGAACTACCATACTTCAACACTAGGGCTGCTATCACAGAAGGAAAGTTCAGATTTGAATGGAAAAATCTTTAAAAAATAAACTGGAGATTTATTTATGCACGCTGTAAGCTGTTTTGTTTTGACTTTTTTCCCCTCAAAAAAAAAAACCTATTACAGCCTTAAAGTTTAAAAACTGTTGCATTTAAAAAAAATTAATCAAAGATCCAATACTCAACGACAGCAGGGTTTCCCTCCTTTACACTTCTAGGTCAGTGATAAGCTGGTTCAGGTATGACAAGAAAACTGAGTTCACACAGCAGGGTTGGAGAAAAAGGTCCTATTTGGAGTAATATAATGATACACATTTTCCTATGCATTTTAAGGACAGCATGAAAAAACGCTCTAATGTTAGACTCCATCAAGCTATCTAATCCCAGCAATCTTGTGACCACATAAAGACAGGGATGCTCAAATGTAGGGTGAAGAGATGACACTCGTACTCTCAGCAGAAATCGGGCATCTTCATATACTTCAAAGTGTTACTGCTACCACTTCACACTGGTCTCACCAAATACTTCAGGAGCACTCAGCTGGTACTTGAAAATTATTTTTTTAAAATTTCTTATGTTAAAAATGACCTTGCTGCAGTGAAGCATCTATAAAACATAACATTAAGCCACTAAATGCTAGTAGTCAATATTCCTCATAACACAAAATGAAAACTGGTACAAGCTACAAATAAAAATGTTTTCCAGGTAACAAGAGCTAACCTGTTCACTTGAAGATGGCAATTTGTGTGGATCCATGGTCAGACTTTTCAGGTCATCTGATATGGTCTGTAAATGGGTTATTTCTCCTAGCATTGATATTTCTTCTTCCTGAAAAGATGAAAGAGCAAGGCTAATCACAGTCTTGGTTTTAAAAATCAGACCCATAACACAATACAGGACCTTATTCTTTTTGCTGATGACTGTGGGAATGCCCAGCGGAGCTGCTTTTTCTTTGTCCATTAAGCAATCACTACTTATGAAAGAGGGTTGGAAATACCAATTTAGAGTTTTATGACTACTTTAAGATTGCTGTAAATTCTAAGGCCCAGAAATCCTTTCTCTCACCAATGAGATAAGTCTCAGCCTTCTGTTTGTGACATCTTCAGAAAAAGAGTGTAATTTTTGCTGCATTTGGAAAAGACTTAACTCTTCTACGTACACTCACTGATGTGCCCTAAGAATTTTAACCTTGAACCTGAACAGGTGTTAAACTCCCACTTTTTGCTAGTTTTTGGAAACTTTTGAGATAAAGGCACTATACAGGTATAGAGCATTAATACATCTATGATTCATTCTGGCTCAAGCTACATCAGCAGCTAACTCAGACGATTCCTGCACTGTAAGTTACCATAGTAATCCCTTAGCTGCCATGGTAATTTCATCCAGGTCCTCAGAATCTGCAATTCACCTCCTCCTGCTCAGCCATAACCTCCCTATTTCTCTAATCATGGCTTTCTGTTGAGACTGATGCTCTTTGTAAACAAGCACTGGGAGCATTTTCCCAGTACGCTGGAGACCCTTCAAAAATGCATCATGCTTGCACAAAGCCATAAACGATTCATCGCTGGGCTTGAGACAACCTGAGATTATGAAAATATACTTAAACCTTTTCAATCAACTGAAAAAGCTGTCATGTAGGAGGAAAAGAGCTGCCAGGAAACTGCAGCCTGCAATCTGTCAGATAATGTCATTATATACACAGGGGAGGTCTTGAAACATTTATCAGTCCTACCACTGGAGTAGGAGTAAGGAAGATTTATATTAAAATGTGATGGTAAGAAAAAAAGCAGTGGAAAAAACTGCATTAGCAATGTCTCAGGTCAGTATGCATAGGGAACTCTAGCCCACTTAAGTCTTTGTGCCCATTGTTTTCCCATTAGTCATCTTGAAACCATTCAGTGTCTTTGCTTACTGATTTACTCCAAATGCCCGCAAGAAAGAGCCCAGCTCTTGCCCCTTCTTAGGCAGAGATGCAGGCTGAATTTTGGATAGTTTCTATGGCTCTAGAGATTCATTCCTAAAACATAACAAGCTACTCTTTTTAGAGGCTTTTGGCCACTTATCCAATTTGTGAATTGTACCAACTTAAAACAGAGAGCTCTTACTATCACGGGTCGCAGCATCGAGATGAAAGTACAGAATCGACCGCGCTCCTCAATCAGAGCTTTTCTGACAGCTTGCTTCTCAGTTTCTTCAAGCAGCAGGTACTTATCATTGACATCTTGTAAAGCGCTATCCAGCTGGGGCTGAATGTCACCCCGTCCTGTATGCAGGAAACAATCAAGAGTACATTTTGTCAAAACTATGGATCTTCAAAGAGGACGACCTTATTTTCAGCCAGCACTGCTGCCAGATTGTGCTTTTGCAATTCAAGTCTCAACCAGCATTTTCCTTTAATTCAAATTAGTAAGGTTTTTTTTCCCAATTAAATCAAGCATTTCATAGCATTAACTTTTTTCCTTTTGCATAGAATAGAAATCCAACTCAATTCCAAAGGTTTCAACAAGCCAAAGACAGCATTTTACGTAAGAACCTTCTCAAATTGCTAGCTGTATAAATCCTTCCCATTATCCTTGCCGAAAATCAAGTTACCAACCCCAGGTACATTCGTCTTCCTTCCTACTTTTGTGCTTAAAAAGGACCTAATGACAACTTTGTAGACTCATTAAAGGATTGAGTGAATCTCCTATATGAGAGGATATTAGGAACATGTTACTGATCATTGGACCACTGGATTCAAGCACGCTACACAAGCAACTGCTAAAACAGTTTTCTTCGTTCCAAAGTCCAAAAGAAAAAAAAAAACCTATCAACATCTCAAATACATATTAATGTCCAGTATTTGCCCATGGAAATAAAAGAATTCCAATGTTTTGGATCAAAAAGCTTCAATGAGTTAATTATAGTCAACTCATAACACCAAAACTTTCTGTGACAGTTAAGCATCTTATTCTGCGCCAACTGCTTACTCTGCATCATGCCAAAAACTTACTCCTCTAGGAATGAAGAGCTACTGCTTAGCCATAATATTACTGAGTCAACACTGTTGCAGTTGCAAGATGCTTTCATGCAGCTTACACCCTTTAAATGTTCCAAAGAAACTCAGTTGTGTAAATTTCTCTCAAATCTCCCAGAAACACCATCACATGCAAATTAAGTATCCAGGTACATATTCATGCCACTGTTGCTAAATACCAGGAAGATAACATTGAAAAATGGTGGGTGAGTTGCAAGCAGCTACCCAAAATCAATTTTTATGGACAATAACCTTTACGCATGGAGGACTTAAAGCTATGAACAAGAGGAAGAAAAAAGTCTCTCAATGTGTGTAGTACACAATGCAGATGAATCAAGGTCAGAATTAGAAAGGAAAACCTTTGCCTTATTACCATATGTATTTCTTCAGTACTCCAGGGCGAGGTGAAGTCATGAGCTCCCCTGCACTAATACACAGCCAGAGCCGCAGGAAAGAGAGCAGCGATGGAAGCAAAGAGAATCATGCTGGCTTAGCAGCATTGCAGACTGGATATATCCAAGTATCCTCTGTACAGAGTTAGACAGAGTCCAGATAAAGCAGAGCTCTGCGATGGATCCTTGAAGAATCACGTGCAGTGCAACACCAGCGTGGCCACCGCCAAGGCCACCTGGGTACCAAACCGCCAGCAGGAACACCCAGTGTCTGATCCTCTAAATCAGGCTGACCAGTGCAATGTGGTCACAAAACTGTTTTGGAAGTAAGTAACTTCAAAAATAACTGACTCTGAAGTTGCAGTCACCTGCTTCCTCTCAAAATTAGCATCTGCCAGAAACAAGTTATAGAAGAGTTTTGGATTAACTCCCTGAAGGTCCTGTGCCTTCTCATCTGTCATCCTTAGAAGATAAACTGGGTCCTTCTGCTTGAAGACCATTCTGTACGTTTCAAGCCCTTCCCCATACTCTCCTTTGCTATCAGATGCAGCGATTAAACATTTTATACTTCTCTGGAGTTGTTCTTTCAAATTCCTGAAACTGCGACTTGCATTATTGCTCAGACCCCTTATTTTGAAAGCTGTGTGGAAATTACAACAGGTGAAACAATATCTCATTGTTTAAACCCAGATACTGGCTCACTAGCATGGATGTACCAAATGCAAAATATATCAGTTGTGAACTAAATCACGCACTGATTAGTTCAGCTCTGGAGAACTGCTGTGAACGTTCAGCTGCTCCACCATATGATCATGCACTTAACACAGAAATCCTTGTTAAATCCATGTGGCTACACAGTGAGAAGACACACAGTAAGAAACCAACTGGAGTCCACTGATAAAGTGGGTTCAATTATAGCGAATTTTGGTAATCTACATGGACCTCACAGAGCAGCACATCTTGGACCAGAGCAATATAGCACCCAAAACATGGGGCAAAAATGAAACTCATTTACACCTGTGTAACTCACTCAATTCAACAGTTATCAGGATAATGTTCAAGCTGTGTATTTTAACCCTTTGGCAAAAGCGCATGTAAAACTGCATTGCTCTCCAACATCCTCTGTACCTCTACGAAGTTTCCATTTTATTCCTTTAAGTGAGTCAAGACATTAATAGACATACCATCTCCTCACCGCTACTTTCACAGACCCGTTTTTATGCTATGGCTCTTGAGCACCTATGTAGTCAGTGAAAACACACAAGCTGTCTGGGGTATAATTCAGAGCAGGAAACAAGCTTAGGTGAATCATTTAGATGAGGCTCTGAAGTCAGATGTTTACATGGCGTGAATACAGCTCTCTCCTGATGTCTCCTTGCAACTCATCTTTTAGGAGCAGGAAAGCTTTATAACTTCCTTTGAAAGGTCCATAATGCAGACATCAATCTAGCAAGTCTTTTGAAATCAGGCATAACTGTTCCCACTCCCTGAATCGCCAGCTGCCTCCCATGGCACTAGACACCTCAGGAATTTGAGGGATGAGATCTCTGCCCGATTTAACCAGTTTCCTTCGCTAAGCAGAGCAGAGCACAGGCCCTCGACAGCACTCCTACACCCAGAGGACACCGAGGATGTAGGGCCAACTGCCTCTGCTCCTCACCCACCCTGGGCCTCTGCTAGTTTGAATCCACTACTTCTCTCAGAAGGGAACATCGACCACTGGAGAGCAATGCATTTCTTTTCCCCTTTGAATTATGAGGGGAAGGTCACTTGTCTATGGCACCCATGACAACTGATTGCACTATTTTTGCTGTGGACGTGAGGCACACTTTCATAAGAAACATCAGTAACTGATTATTCTCTCCAACCCACATTCTCTGGCCTTTAGGTTACCCATCTGGAAAAATTTCCAAACCAAGACAGCTATCGTAATGACAGAAAATAGTTCCAGAACAGTCTCATCACGGAGCAGCCATAAGAGTGCTCCTGGAAGGACATTCCTACCTCAGCTGCAGACAGGTTTGAATGACCCACCAAAGCAATCAACATTAGCAATGGTCAAAAGCTTCACACGTAGTCACAAGCCTCTGGTCTGCAACCAGCCAGACATGGATGTGATGTAAGGATTTGTTCTGCAGAGCGTGTCCAGTTGCACTCGGAAGAACGAGTCAACAATCCGAAAACCAAGGAGGAATTCAAACCCAGCCCTTCTCCAAGTGGAGCTTTGGTGCGCAGAGAGGAGCAGAAATGCAAGGCCAGAAGCTGTGGACTGACTTCTCCAACAGCACCATGCTCCAACAGCCCTGGGACTCACGGCTTGACACAGGCAAGTAACAGGTAATGAACTACAGAGAGCTGAACTGCTTCTCGTCAATATGAACATGAATCCACTGCTACTCCAAGGACAGTCTTAATGTGTTACCTTCAGAGCAGGTGCTTCACATCATTACCATGACGTGCAAGAGCTTTAAAGGGCCAACATGCATTAAAACCTCAGTTTTACAGTGTTCCGTGTGAATCCTGGCTGAAAGCCTCGTGCAGCTTCTTAAATAATCATTGTTCGAAAATAACTTTAGTAAAGGAAACGTATTAGGGAGAAGGAAAATGGTAAATCAAATTTTCAACCCAATTTCATGCCTATTTTATAAGACAACTTAAACTAGCAAGCAACAGCAAAGGAGAACAATGATTTTTAAATGCTCTCAGTGCAAGTCTGACTATTACAGTTAATGCCGGTATTGACAAAGTAATGCAGCAAATATTGGTGAAATTATTATTTACCGCATTCTCACCTAAAGAGTGTTCCCTTGCACTTTTTTAGGTGTCTGCACAGAACTTGAATATTCACTACTGGACACTTTATAGAGTGGCAGAATTTACACTGTATGAGACAATGCTGAGTACACCTCTACTCGTGCAAACCAAAGCAGGATCCAAGTCATTCATTCCCAAATCACCTTCTTTACAAGAGCATACCAGCTGAGTCCTGCACAGTAAAGCCAACAAATAAACTAATATGGATCTAGGCTGAGATTGGAAGAATTCTGCCACCGTTTACAGAAAGGTGGAAAAATCTCATTGCTGGGGTGAACTTCAGACCCCTTCAGCAACCGAATCAGAGTCTTTCTGGTGGCTACTGGAGATCTGAATCAGCTGCTAACATTCAAAAGTGCTAAGTCATCCCTTAAAAGAAAAGTTCCAAGTTACCAAAGGAAACTTCCAGATTGAATTACAAACCAGGAAAAATACAAAGCGTGGTTTCAAAAAAAGGGGGCAAGCAGCAGGCACCACAGTGCCCAGCTCCAGGAGCCCAGGGGAGGCGCCTCAGTCGAGAGTCCCCCGATCTAATCAATCCAGGCTTCTCCAAAGGGCAACACCTACATCACTACATCTAGAGGTGGAGGTACGATTATTTCGCTCAAATTTAGAAACACTGTGTTTCATTCACAAGATCTCAAGGCAGCTACTTTAAATTTGCAATACAACTGAAACAGCACTCCAATTTAAACAGATTTGAGATGTGATCAGGCAGCAGAAGAGGAGACAATTGTGATGCTGATTTCCACCCCTTCCCCAGCATGAAGTTAAATATAGTGATTTCTTATCTATCGGTTAAGAAAGGTGCATGCGATTTTCAGAAAAAAGGGGGACTTGGATCACAGGTTTACAAAGAACAACACTAAGGACTTTAAGCTCTAGACTTTAAAAGTCATATTAACAATAAGATATTTAATTATTTGAACATCACCTTGATGACGTATCTATTCCATTTAACTTCTCTCCCAACTGTGACATGATTTATCAGTCCATGTTAATCCCTTTCTAAAATAAACCAGAGGTTTATCTACAATACTG